CCTCAGATTAGAGCCGACCTTGATGTGGATAGAATAAAGGTTTTGGGACCCCTATTTCCTGATATGACACATCTCAAAATGAGAAGGAACAGTTACAAACATCCATTAATAATCAGAACGTGGAATGTACAAAGTATAAATCTAGGAAAATTGGAAGTTGTCAAAAATGAAATGGAATGCACAAAGATTGATATCCTAGGGATCAGTGAGCTGAAATGGAGTGGTTTTCGCCATTTTGAATCAAATGATCATATGATCTACTATGCCAGGAATGACAAATTGAAGAAGAATGGCATGGTATTCATCATCAAACAGAATATATGAAGATCTATCCTGAAGTACAGTGCTGTCAGTGATAGGATAATATCCATATACCTATGAGGAAGACCAGTTAATATTCCTATTATTTAAATTTATGCCCCAACCATCAAAGGCAAAGATGAAGAAATTAAATATTTTTATAAACTTCTGCAGTCTGAAATGTACTGAACATGCAATCAAGGTGTGTTAATTATCATTGGTGATTGGAATGCAAAAGTTGGAAACAAAGAAGTATCACCAGCATTTGGTAAAGATGGCATTGGTGATAGAAATGATGCTGGAATTTGCATGATATAATTTAGGAAGACCAATGACTTGTTCATTGCAAATATATTTTTCAACAACACAAACGGTGGCAATACACATTGACTTCACCAGACAGAGTACACAGGAATCAGATTGACTACATCTGTGGCAAGAGGCAATGGAGACGCTCAATATCTTCAGCCAAAACAAGGCCAGGAGCTAATTCTGGAATAGACCATCAGCTGCTCATATGCAAGTTCAAGGTGAAGCTGAAGACAATTACAAGAAGCCCATGAGAGCCAAAATATCACTTTGATTATATTCCTCCTAAGTTTAGAGACCATCTAAAGAATAGATTTGATGCATTGAACAGCCATGACCAAAAACCAGAGGAATTTGAGATGACATCAAGAACATCATCCTTGAAGAAAGCAAAAGGTCATTAAAAAGATAGGAAAGGAAGAAAAGACCAAAGTAGATGTCAGAGTAGACTCTGACACTTGCCATGGAATGGAGAGTAGTTAAAGCAAATGTTAGAATCGACAGAATAAAAGAGCTGAACAGAAGATTTTGAAGAGCAGCTCGAGAAGACAAAGTCAATTATTATAATGAAATGTGCAAAGACCTGGAGTTAGAAAACCAAAAGGGAAGAACATGCTTGGTATTTCTCAAGCTGAAAGAACTGAGCAAAAAATTTATGCTTCAAGTTGCAATATTGTAATATTATATGGGCAATATTTTGAAAAGAAGATGTATGGAATACAAAGAGTCACTATACCAAAAATAATTGATAGATGATCATCCATTTCAAGAGGTGGCGTATGATCAAGAACCAATGTTATTGAAGGAAGAAGTCGAAGCTTCGCTGAAGGAATTGGTGAAAAACAAGGCTCCAGGAATTGACAGACTACCCATTGAGATGTTTCAACAAATGGATGCCATGCTGGAGGCACTCACTCAGCTATTCCAAGAGATTTTGAAGACAACTACCTGGCTAACTGACTGGCAGAGATCCATATTTGTACCTTTCAAAGAAAGGTGATCCCACAGAATGTGAAAATTATAGAACAATATCATGGATATCACACGCAAGTAAAATCTTGCTGAAGATAATTAAAAAAATAATTGTATCAGTGTATTAACAGAGCTTCCAGAAATGCAAGGTGAATTCTGAAGGGCATGTGGAGCAATGGATATCATAGCAGATGTCAGATGGATCTTGGCTCAAAGCAAAGAATACAAGAAAGATGTTTACTCATGTTTTATTAACTATTCAAAGGCATTTGATTGTGTGGATCCTAACAAATTGAAGATAACATTGAGAAGAATGGGAATTCCAGAACACTTAATTGTACTCATGAGGAAACTGTACATAGACCAGGTGACTGTTTGAGAAGAACAAGGGGATACTTCATGGTTTAAAATCAGGAAGGGAGTGCATCAGGGTTGTATCCTTTCACCATACTTATTCAGTCTGTATGCTGAACAGATAATCTGAGAAGCTAGACTATGTGAAGAACGTGGCATCAGGATTGGAGGAAGGCTCATTAACAACCTGAGATATGCAGATGACACAACTTTGCTTGCTGAAAGTGAGGATGACTTGGAACACTTACTGATGAAGATTAAAGACTGCAGTCTGTAGTATGGACCTCACCTAAATACAAAGAAAACAAAAATCCTCATAACTGGACCAATAAGCAACATCACGATGAATGGAGGGAAGATCAAAGTTGTCAAAGACTTCATATTACTTGGTTCTACAGTCAATGCCAATGGAAGCAGCAGGCAAAACAGCAGGAACTGTACTGCATTGGGCAGATCTGTTGCAAAAGACTGCTTTCAACTGCTGAAGAGCAAAAATATCTCCTTGAAGACTAATATACACCTAACCTAAGCTATGGTATTTTCAGTTGCCTCATATGCATGTGAGAGCTTGACAGTGAATAAGGAAGACTGAAGAAGAGTTGATGCTTTTGAGTTTTGGTGTTGGCGGAGAATGCTGAAAGTGCCATGGACTGCTAAAAGAACTAACAGATCTGTCCTGGAAGAAGTGCATCTGAAATGCTCCTTGGAAATGAGAATGGCCAGGCTTCATTTCACCTGCTTTGGTCATGTTGTCAGAAGGGACCATTCTCTGGAAAAGAATGTCATGCTTGTAAAGTGGAGGGCCAATGAAAATGGAAAAGGGCCTCAACAAGATGGATTGACCTGGTGGCTGCAGCGATGGACTTAACTATGGTAGGGATCGTGATGCTGTCACAAGACTGGGATGTGTTTCATTCTTTTGTACATAAGGTCGCTAGGAGTCGGAGATGACTCAATGGCACATAACAACAACAAAAATAAATACCATAAAGCTTAATCCTAGACATTTCATACATTTTCTTAGCCTATACACATAAATAATTATATGTTATATATAATATAATATCCACTCCTCGGAAGGAAGTTTGGGCAATCCTACTTCCGTAGTGATAACTGCCTCGGAAACCCAAGGAGGGGTTGCTAGGAGTCGGGGCCGACTCGAGGGCAAATAACAACAAATAACAACATATAATATAATGTACACACTTAGAGTACACAGCTGGGTTCAAGAGCAAAAAAAAAAAAAAGGAAAATCACTGACATTTTAATCAAAGGAAAAACATTAAGTCCTGGAATCTGGAGCTGAAACTCCTAGGAATTGTGTATCCAGTTATATATGCCCACTGAATAATGGAAATTAGGAATGCAACCCTATGTCATTGTGAGTTAGTGCTTGTATCACTGAATAATGCTAGCAATAGATAAGAAGCTGTCTCATCCGTAAATAAGACTAGGGACATTTTTGCCATTCTATGAAAGACAAGGCCTTTAGATGAGCCACTTCCCAGATTCTAGCTGGCAGTAGAGGCAATCATGAGAAATCAGCATCTCAAAATTGTGGCTTGTGTGATCATAGACATTTTCCCATAATGGCTGGTTGTAACCAAGAAAACCAAACCTACTGCCATTGAGTTGATTCTGACTTATAGTGACTCCCACTGGGTTTCTAAGACAGTAAATCATTATGGAAGTAGAATGCCTTGTCTTCCTTCCACAGAGTGGCTGGTGGGTTTTAACTCCAACCTTCTGATTAGCAGCCACATGCCTTGGCATTGTACAATCGGAGCTCCTTAAAGGCAATGATGACTGTGTAATAAGCAACCTTTCTGATTCTCCTCTGCAAATGATACAAAATACCTTCACAACTATGAAAATGTTTCACAAATTCAAACCTTCAGGATTACTCCATGAGAAAGGAATGTTGAAACTACAAAATAACTTTGAATAAAAAGAAAAAAATCAACAAATTAAGCATAGGATTCTTCACACTCTTACCACTACCTGCCCTTTGCAAGACTTTGTGAAGAATAAAGGCAAATTTAGAGAAACTGCAGAGAAGACAGAAGGCAAAGCTCTGGTGGTATAGAGCCTAAGGCATTTGACTGCTAAGCAGAAGGCTGCGGTTCAAACCCACCAGCCACTCCACAGAAGGAAGACTGGGCAGTCTACTTCTTTAAAGATTTACCACCTTGGAGACCCAGAGGGGTCACTGTGAACTGGAATATACTCAATGACAGTGAGGTTTTTTTTTTTTTTTTTTTTGGTTTAAGAATGACTAAGACCCATACCACACCAAAGCAAACTCACTCCCATCAAGTCAGATCTGATTCATAGCAACCCCTCCTTGGGTTTCCCTGGTGGTATCACTACAGAAGTAGATTACCCAATCTTCCTTTCGAAGAGTGGCTAGTGGGTTTGAACCTCCGGCTTTCTGGTTAGCAGTCAAATGCTTTAGTCACTATGCCACCAGAGCTAAATTCATGCTTTCACATAAATGTTCAGAGAAGACACTATATATAAGAAAGGGAATGCAAAGTATATGTGAACTAAATGGGCATATGCCATATAAGGACCAGGCAGTGTTTTTTTCTGTTGGATATAGGGTGGCTATGAGGGGAATCAACTCGATGACACCTAACAACAACAACATGCCATATAAAGATTCAATTGTGTAATTTAAAGGACTAGACATGCTATAAAGGGATAGATGCCAGATTTAAAGAGGCAAAAATTATTTCAAAGGGGAGGTGATATTCAAAGGGATGGTAGTCTTTTTTTTCTGGTGGAGGGAAAAAAAAACAAAAGGAAAGAGAAAAGTGTCCCTTTCGTTTGGGTGGTACATGGGAAAAGAAGGAAAAGGGAACATTTTAGAAAGCTTCCATAACTGGAAGATCCATAATCACTCCATCTCAAGAAACAGCCAACCAAGCAAACGACAATAATAACCCATTAACAAGAAAATGTCCATGACTCTATGTGTAAGTGTGAGTGTGTTTTATTATGGCTTTTTTTGTTTTTTAATAATAACATACCCAACGTTGAAATATTGCATTTTTCTTTTAAAGCCCTCGATTTAGAGAATATAGTGTGCGTTGGATAAGGACTTGGTGGATTTATTTTCTTCTTACTGCTTTCATTGCATGGTCTACATTAATACCATTGTCCTGCTTTCCATATTATTTGCCAGGTAACTATAACAATATAATCTAAAATTAAAAGACAGTAGTCATCCCATCTCCCTTCCACATTCTCAGAGCACAACTAAACTACATTTCTTTTTGAAAATGCCTCTTCTACCTCTAGTGATCTGTCATAGAAATAGTATCATGGTCTAGTGTTATTTGAACAAATAAAATAGTATTGTAGCTAAAGTTTATTTTATTTAAATATCAGACTTTCATTAGTACATGATTTTGCTTCTTATTATTTTCTTCTAAATAGGAAATGCTTTATATTTAGAGTTCATAAGTTATCTTAAAATAGTGAAGCATATTCAAGTCCATTTACCTGGCATTACTTAATATACATACTACCATATAAAATTATTGTAAGATAAAATAAAAACTATTAAAATTCTTTTGGAAACATTAAAATTACATTTACGTTAGAGAAATCTTATAAACTATCCTAATGATAGCATATTTTATTGGGAAGGAATAATTTTTGTATTATTAAAGATTATTATGTTAAATTCCATAGCTGTTCTACTGGATATAGTGCTTGCCACATGTGGCTATTTAAATTTTAAATTAAATAAAATTTAAAATTGTTTTGCTCAATCATAGTAACTACATTTCCAATAGTCAATAGCTACATGTAACTAGTGGTTGAATTATTGGATAGTTCAGATAAGGAACATTTTCATTACTGTTGAAAGTTCTTTTGGACAATACTGTTTGGAGAGATGAATCTTAATGAATTGGGCTGACTTTAGTCAAATATTTTGTCAAAAATTACTCAATTCCCATTAGAATAACCTTGTTTTATAAGGGTGTGCATGTATATTTATATATGTGTCTTAGTTATTTGAATGAATCATATGATGCTTTTACTTATTATATAGGTACAGCAAAGAAAAAAGCTGAAAAACGTAAACAACCTGATTGGCCTCATAATGATGATGAACATCAGGAATTTGGAACTAGTATCAAGGATTTGTTTGCTTCTGTTTTGGTAAAGTAAAATGTTTCCCGTCAAAAAGCCAATGAAGTTGACTTGCATAATTTGTAATATTGGATTTAAGAAAATAACCGTCAATTGGTTGGGACTTTTGAAATCTTTTAGTGAACCTCTTTATTTCACAGATAAGGGAAAATAGGACCTGTATTATCTATGTGGTATTGCCAAGAACTTGGCTAGTGTCAGAGCCTGTTTTCCTTTTTCTATTTGTTTTAATTTTACTTTTATGTTATTTTGTGTTAATATTTTGTTCTGCAGGAAGAAATAAGGCTTTTAATATGATAACATATAGGCATCAATATTATCTTGTTCACTATGTTAAAATGAATTAGAAGAGAATTTTAAATGTTAAGAAACATTCCCAAAAACATTATAGGTCATGTAAATATGGCAAGATCAAATGGGTAAGAACTCTGTATTTCTATATGTGAGAAAGAAAGCCTGCAATACAGACATCATAGAGTAAAAATAACTTCTAAAAGGTGATCCTACTTTCAGTTTGTTTTCTCTTCTCCCATTCATCACTTCACCTGTTATGTCACCTGAAGAATTATATTTTTCAAATGTAGGTTTATTAAGTTATTTCTCAGATTACTTCCTAAATGAATTTTGTACCCTTTTTGTGAGACTTTCAAGACCTTTTAAAACAATGTCAACTTAATTTCCTACTTCATTTTCTCAGAATCTTATGTTTATCTCCCCCATTTTCTGGTCACTTGTTCTTTCCTGGATACCTTAGGTACTTGTGTAGTTCTCTAACTTTGTAGAAGTGAATCTCTTTGCTTCAGACATCCTTTTCTCTCTTCTCCATTCCAGAAAAACCTCTTTGTCAAGTCTCATCTTATATTCCTACAAAAATGCGTTTCCTGCTCTTAATGCTTTTATAGATGTTTGTTCCAGTATATATACATAGTGCTTTTTAATTTATTAGTTTACCTTTTCCTAAAAGAAAAAGTAAAATTGAATAGAACTAAAATTTTTGTGAACTGTTGCTATTCACCAAGTGTTTTGTCTTTTGATCAAATTATGAACACTTCCTAGAAATAGATTATATTTCATTCAGATTTTTATTTAATTTTAATGTTTATAGAATATTGCATGTGTATATTTTAAAAATACAGAAACCATTATGTTAGTATGTTAGTTATAACTTTTTTCACATTGTTAAATATTAATAAACGAATGACGAAGGAAGCTTAAGAAGACCATCTGTAACCTTGTCATATATCTAATAGATGTCCTACAGATTTGCAAAGAGCAAAACTTTAGTCAACAGTGAAGTTGTCTTCTTTTAAGGCCACCTGATCTTTACGTAAAAGATGTTTTGAAAAATTTTTCAATTTATGAATTCTATATCAATAGCTGTATGAATTGGTGTGCAATTTAAGTAGAGTAACTTGTTAAGGTTTTAAAGAGTTAGACAGTTTTCTCATTTGCAAGCTGACAGAAGCATACCTAATTTGTAAATGTGAACAAGTTAACAGTTGTTGAACCCTACCATTTAAAAAGGCCCTTACATAATTTTGTGAATGTTATTAATTTATATGTCTTAGTTTGGAGTCTGTAAATGAGAAATAATGCTAGTATACACCTCATAAAATTGTTCTGAGTCATAAATGTATTTGATGTTGTTGTTGTTAGGTGCCCTCAAGTCGGCTCCAACAGATAGTGACAACAGAATGAAACACCGTGTGGTCCTGTGCCAGCCTCACAATCCTTGCTATAGCAGAACACATCATTGTAGGCACTGGGTCAATCCATCTCATTGAGGACCTTCCCCTATTTTGTTTACCCTCCACTTTACTAAGCATGATATTCTTCTGCAGGAAATGGTCCCTTCTAAGAATATGACCAAAGTAGGTGAGACAGAGTCTGGCCATTCTTGCATCCAAGGAGCATTCTGGCTGCTCTTTTTCCAGAACAGATTTGTTAGTTCTTCTGGCAGTCCATGGCACTTTCAGTATTCTTTGCCAACACCACAATTCAAAAGCATCAACTCTTCTTCAGTCTTCCTTATTCATTGTCCAGCTTTCACACGCATATGAGGCGATTGAAAATACTGTAGTTTGGGTCAGGTGCACCTCAGTCACCTTTGCTCTCCAGCACTGAAAGAAGTTTTTTGCAGCAGATTTGCCCAATGCAGTACGTCATCTGATGTCCTGAATGCTTCTTCCACAGGTGTTGATTGTGGAACCAAGTAATGTGAAGTCTATGACAACTTCAATCTTTTCTCTATTTATCCTTGTGATCCTGCTTATTGATCCAGTTGTGAGGACATTCATGTTCTTTATGTTGAGATATAATCCACACTGCAGACTGTAATCTTTAATCTTTATCAGTGTTTCAAGGCATCTTCACTTTCAGCAAGCAAAGTTGTGTCATCTGCATATGGCAGGTTGTTAATGAGTCTTCCTCCAATCCTGATGCCATGCATTTCTTCATATTGTCCAGCTTCTCCTAATAGTTGCTCAGCAAAGAGATTGAATAAATATGGTAAAAAGATACAACTTTGACATACTCCCTTCCTGACTTTAAACCATGCAGTATCCCGTTGTTCTGTTCAAATGACAGCCTTCTGGTCTACGTACAGGTTCCTCATGAGTACAATTAAATGTTCTGGAATTCCCATTCATCTCAATGTTATCCAAAATTTTTTTAGATCCACACAATTGAATGCCTTGCATAGTCATTAAACACAAATAAACATCTTTCTTATATTTGTTGCTTTGAGACAAGATCCATCTGACATCAGCTATGATATCGCTTACTCCTTGTCTCCTTCTGAATCCAGCTTGCATTTCTGGAAGTTCTCTGTCAATATACCTCTACAAACATTTTTGAATTATCTTCAGCAACATTTTACTTGTGAGTGATAGTAATGATATTATTTGATAATTTCCACATTCTGTGGGATCACTTTTTTTTGGAATGGGTACAAATATGGATCTCTTCCAGTCAGTTGGCTAGGTAGCTGTCTTTCAAATTTCTTGGCATAAACAAGTGAGTACCTCCAATGTGGCACCCATTTGTTGAAACATCTCAGTGGGTATTCTGTCAATTCCTGGGACCTTGTTCTTTGACAATTCCTTCAGTGCGGCTTCAACTTATACCTTCAATATTATTGGTTCTTGATCATATGCCACCTCCTGAATTGGATGAACATCAATCAATTCTTTTTGATACAGTGACTCTCTGTATTCCTTCCATCTTCTTTTAATGTTTCCTACATCATGCAATATTTTGCTTATAAATTCTTTCAATATTGCAACTCGAGGCTTAAATTTTTTCTTCAGTTCTTTTAGCTTGAGAAATGCTGAGCATGTTCTTCTCTTTTGCTATTCTAACTCCAAATCTTTGCACATTTCATTATAATAATTGACTTTGTCTTCTTGAACTGCTCTTTGAAATCTTCTGTTCATTTCTTTTATCTTGTCATTTCTTCCCTTTTCTTTAGCTATTCTCTGTTCAAGGGCAAGTGTCACTTTCAGAAGAAGGAAAAGCCCAGCCGCTTCTCAAAGAAATCACCAGTGAAAACTTTGTGAATAGCAGTGAAACACTGTCTCATATAAATGTATTAATGTATGTTAAATGCTTAGATCATGGCTGGGCAAATAACTACATAAGTGACTTTTATTATTTTTCTTTATTATTATTTTTATTATGAATATCATTGTGCTAGGTATTGAGGATACAGCAGTAATTTTTGCCTATGCCTTTATAGAGCTTAAGATCTTGTATAGATCTCAGATTTTTAAAAAATAAATCAATAAACAACTGAGTAAACAAAATCTGTAAGAAGCCTACTTTAGGTATGTGGTGAGGAAGCCTTCTCTGAAAAAGGGACATTTAAATGTGAAACCTAAAGCACGAGGAGCTAGCCATGTGAAGAGTGGAGAGGATTTAGAAAATTCCCAGTACAAGGGACACATGTGGAAAGTCCTTGAGGCAGCAGAGACTTTGGTATGATCAGTGTATAAAAGATCTGTGTTTTTGGAGCATAGCAACTAGGTCAGGAGCATGACAAAATGATAGGTTGGGGAAAGAAAAAGGCTTGTTAACACAGGTATCTGTGGGCTGTGATAAGTGTTTTTAATTTTATTATTCCATTGCTGTCAAAGTTGTCCCTGACTCAGGGGGACTCCATGTGTGTCAGAGTAGAACTGGGCTCCATAGAGTTTTTAATTACTTATTTTTTGGAAGTAGATCACCTGGCCTTTCTTTTGAGGCCCCTCTTGGTGGACTTGAACTTCCAATATTTCAGTTAGAGGCCAAGCTCATTAGCTGTTTGTATTACCCAGGGATTCCTTTATGCAATAGGTTGTTGTTGTTGTTGTTGTTATGTGCCAT